TTTCCCTTTGGGGTTGCTGTAGGTGATCTGGAAGTCTGTTTCTGAGCCTTGTTTATGTGTCTTCTCATTTCCACGGGGGTGAGTGGGTGGGTGGGGTGCTTCTGGCGCCCACGTGGCTCACCTTCTCTGCCCTAGGAGCTTGGGATGGCAGCGGGGAAGCTTCCTTCAGGGTTCTGGGACTGGCTCAGCTTCTTCGCCCTAGGAGCTTGGGATGGTGGCGGGGGAGCTTGCTTCTGGGTGCTGGGACCAGCTGAGCTTCTCTGCCCTAGGAGCCTGGGATGGAGGCAGGGAGCTTCCTTCCGGGTGCTGGGACCAGCTGAGCTTCTCTGCCCTAGGAGCCTGGGATGGAGGCAGGGAGCTTCCTTCCGGGTGCTGGGACCAGCTCATCTTCTCTGCCCTAGGAGCCTGGGATGGAGGTGGGGAGCTTCCTTTCAGGTGCTGGGACCGGCTCTGCTTCTCTGCCCTAGGAGCCTGGGATGGCGGCAGGGGAGCTTCCTCCTTAAGGGTGCTGGGACCGGCTGAACTTCTCTAGAGATCATTAAATTTGAGATCAGCCTGGACAAGTTAGTAACACCCTATCTAAAAATCTGGGGGAAAAAGTGGGGGGGGGATGGAGACGTAGCTCAGGGCAAAGGGTCTGGGTTCAATCCCCGGACAACCACCATCAACAAAAAAATGTCTGAATACTGTATAACTGTTCTTATTTAATGAACATAATGCCAATTAACCAGTATTCTGCTTAAAATCTTAATTGAAAGCTATTTTTATGAGATTAAAAAAAGCATTCCAGCTGGGCTTGGTGGTGTATGCCTGTAATTCCAGCACTCTGGGATGGAGGAAAGAGGGTCACAAGTTTGAGCCCAGCCTTGGCAATTTAGCAACTTACTGAGACTCTGTCTCAAATAAAAAAATTAAAAAAATAGGCTGGGGATGTAGCTCAGTGCGAAGGCCCGGGGATCAACCCCCAGTACTGAAAGAAAATAATAGTAATACCATTCCATGTTGATTATCCCAACCACTATGCAAGATCAACTGAGATCTGCTAAATGCCTGGGTTGAAAACAATGGACCTGTCATGGAAGAAATGCTCCCAGAAATTTTCCAGATTACAGTCTCAGTTCAATGTCAAGACAGATAGAATCAAACTACCTTTTACCTGGAATTTTGTTATCCTCAATCCTCAAAATAATCTGCCTTGTAGCAGTACAGTCAATTAATTTGTCTATAAGAGGCTACTTTATTATATATTCAACCATAAAAACAGATATTCATAGTTTTGACTACATAGATAAAATGACTAGTAATTATAATGCAAGGTTTACATTTTTTCTTTGCAAGGTTTTTCACTCTTTTTATTGGTTATATAGATGAATAGGTTTCATTTTGGCAGATTCATATATGCACATAACATACTTTGATTATTTTCACCTCCTGCAACGTTTATTTTTTAATCAACAGTTATCTTTTAGCTGAATAATGAGAACACCTGAAACATTCAAGGTACCTCTGAAATTAATCACTCAGCTAGGACAGAGCTAGGACTACGTAGTCACAGAGGTAGTATGGTTGATGTGAATGAGGGAGTTAAAAGAGGAAGTATTAAAAGCAAAATGTAAGTGTATAAGTAAGTCTTATAGTCTAAATAGGGCATAATAAAGCAGAGTGCACCTTGAGTATATAACCTCTTTATACAAATAATGAAAGCTCATGTGACTTTTGAAACATGCTGGCTGCTTTTTTTACCTGACTCTAAGCCAAGCCTTTTCAAATCCTCTTGATATGCTTTCAGGGCAGCTGCTTCCATTGCAGCAAACTCCTTTGATGCCTTTTCTTCTTCTTTTGCCTTGTCCAGGCTTTTCTGTTTAATCTACATAGGATACAAATAAAGGTAAAAGTGAAATAAAGTACTGACACTTACACATAAAAATTAGCAAAGAACCAATCTATATTACCTCACTGATCCTCTTTGCCACATTTTCCTTATGATTCTTTCCCCTTTCATGAAATTCAACACTCTTAAAAATGAAAAAGAGAAAATACAAAGGAGTTACATAAGCGTGATAAAATCCAGTAAGCACGACTAGAAAAGAAAACTGAAATTAAAATGATTTGCAGAAAAGATAAAACTGATTAATTTTAATGTAAGCTGGTCCCTTTTGTCAAATGATGCTAGGGAACTGAACCTCATTTATTATAACTTCTGACTAGATTTTACTTTAGTTCTTAAAACAGGATGACCATATTAATGGGGAAAAATGCAAGGTACTCTTAATGACTAATTTAGTGAATATAATTATAACTAGGACTTAAAACATGAAGCAAAAGAGTGGAAAATTTTTTAAAGAAACACTTCTCAATATCAAATCTCAAAACCAGTAAATCTCCAAAATTTTATCATTCTATTTGCTACATTAAAGACATAGAGAACAATGATCCCTAAAGCCTTAGTCCTCAAAATTTTAAGAAATATATACATTTAAAAATTCCTCATATATTGTAAACAAACACTTTTATACATGGTAGTAAGGCTACAAAATGCACAACTCCTATAATTGATACTTTGGCAGTATCTATAAAAATTACAAATACATCATCCTATAATCCAACAATCCCATTTCTGCGAATTTATTCCACAGATATGCCTGTACACACACAAAATGTTATACATAAGGTTATTCACTGCAACACTATTCGTGGTAACAATCCAAGTGTTCATCCAGGGGACTGGTTAAATAAACTGTGGTACGTTCACATAGGTTGCTGTAACAGAAAACAAAGCAGTCCCCTATGTATTGACATGGAAAAGCTTATAGTGTGATTTTTTAAAACTACAGTGTAGAAAAGTACATATAAAGTATGCTATTTTTTGTGTAAGACAGAATAAGAATGTCTATATGCATATGGAAACAATAAAACGATAAACAAGTAAAAAATGGTGGAGTGGTAGTAACTAGGATGGATGGGGACAGGAATGGGTAAGTGAACATTACTATCTAGTAACTAGTAACCAGAAATTCTCCCTAAATTACAAATGTCTGGTTGTAAGTGGTATTAAGAAATTCCTGGTAAGCTCTGCAAAGTAAAGTTGTATCACTCAAATCTTATATGATGTATTATCTGCCTTAGTCTAAAATACTGTTAATGCCTCTTTAAAGTGTGACTTTGGAAAGTAAATAATCATCTTTTTATGAATTGGGTTTCCTACTTGATTAAGAACTCAAAGAATACAATATTAAAGGACCATTAAAAACTAAATTAATTTTGTTTCTAACTAAAGGTTAAATCAGTGTGTGTTAATAATTCAAGGAGATGAAGACAGTGTACTGGAAGGAATTATTTACTCTAGTTAACTCATAAAAATTCATGTTACTGCTGGGTACCTCCAAAGAAGAGGATTTTCAGTGATTCGTGTGGTTTTAAAAACTCCCACCACTTATTTTTAAGAACAGCTTAACTCAAATAAAGAAATAAAAAAAAAAATCCCAAACCACAAACACTTTTAAAATAAAAGTCTACGACAAGAATACAGCATTGTTAATGATGCGACTACTATTCTTTGGTCCATTCAACTTTGCCAAGCAGAAAGGAAACTCTGGTTTTTATGTAGTATATACACAGTACTATAACATATATGAAGGAGGAGAAAATCAGTGGTGTGCTTTTTGCCCTACGTCTTAAAAGGTAGATCTAGACAAAAATATACATATAGTCAATTATCTCTACAGAGTAAACACACGAAAAACTACAACAGTCTTTTTACATTTTAAGGGCTTTTCCATTTTTACTTTTCTTTGCACAGTACAGTATATGACAGTTTACAGATATCCCCATTATACTGTAATGTAAGTGTTTTGTAAACACAGGAATGAGAATTATCCACTAGATGGCCATTTCCAGAAAGGACACAAAAAATTTGGCTTCATAATCAAATACAGGTTGATGAAAAGGAAGAAGGCTCATAGCTTTCTCAAAGAGAATGACAATAGAAATCTTTTGATGTTTGGAAGAACCACGAGTAGTGTACATGAAAGTGCTTTGTAAACTTTGAACCTAGATCAAAAAGCAGCAGTCCACATAACCACATTATGAGAATCTCTGAGAATGGAATCAGCATACAGGCCTATTGTCTGCTATCCAGCACTTGCAGTAATCACAGAATTTCTTTGGTTGAGACTTCCAGTAGTCGGCCCTGAAAAAGGGAAAAGAAGTCTAAGCCTTTTCAAAATGAAGGTAAAATTCTGGATACTTTAGTTTCACGTACTATACAAGCCTCGGCTACTGAATCTTGTTAAAAAAGCTCCCTGTTTTATCATTTAAGTAGAACAGGCAAGTCGACTGAAATTTTGTTTCTAGTAGAGTAGAAAAGGTCAGCATGGGATTTATCACAAGCTGCTTTAAATAAAACAATTAAAATTTTTCTTACTTAATACTAACAGTATGAAGAGACAAGGAACGTCTCAGAAAAATGGCCTTTCTGATGCGGGGATACTGTAATGGGAGGCCGGTGAAAAAACTGAAACTGGTCTTAGGTTTACTTTCATCAAAAGAATAAAACACAACACTATTCTGGGGGAAAGACTGTGGTCCTTCCAAGACTATCAGTTAATACAAGTCGTTCTTGAGCCAAGGGACAAGAATTGTAAAGGCCAAAGGACCTCGCCGACCAAATGAAAATGATCACTCTATCCACAGATGGCCGATTGGAGTGGTCAGGGAAGGCAGCAGCGGGCGCAGCTCAACACCAGAGCTTTATAATACCCCAAGGTTTAAGCGTTTTCAGAACCGACAAGGGCGCCCGCCACCCTCGATCACGCAGATAAAGACTGCGCCGCATCTACCCCCTTCCCATTCGGCAGGGCCCATCCGCCACCCCAACCGGCCGCAGACTCCCAGCCTAAACCCAGCACGGCGCGTAACCAGGACGCTCCGCTGGGTAGCCTTTCTTCCCCGCCCAGAAAACCGGCTCCGCAGTTCTGGGGCTGGTCTCGAATGAGTTAAGAGCAAGTCCGTCACGCCTCTGGCCGAAGGGCGGGAGGAGGGGGTGGAGAGCCCGGGGGAGCGAGGGCGGCCCAGAGAAACAACACTTCGTTGTTTAGGGCCTCAGATCAACTCACATGACTGCGCCAGCCGCTCCGCGCGTCGTCAAGGGTACAACTCACTCTCGCGTTCTCCAAGCGGCGCAAGTCGGACCCGGCCAGCCGCGCGGTCCACCCAAAACTCCTTTGAGCGCGGACACTCCCTTCAACCCAGGGACCAGCGGGCCACGGTTTCCCACTACGGGTGCCCACAAGACTCAACCCGCGTTTGAAATTTCCTCTTCTTCCCCTCCCCCCTACAGGGGCGGTACTCGACTTATGAGGGGTGGGGTCGGTTTAAAGGAGTTGAGGTCACCGAGAAGGGGAGAAAGCGCGACGGGATCTGAGCAGAAGGACAGAACTCTTAAGTCCCCGCGCCAGCCCGCCTCCCTTTCTGTCTTCCCCTGGGATCCAGAACCACCACTTTTCCTAGACTCGCTGGCTGGTGGCCAAGGAGCTCGCGCGCCGCCTCCGCCCCGAACGCAAACAGCTGTTCCCAGTAGACGTCGCCGCCCTCTACTTTGCCAACTAGTCCGCACGCACTTTAACCAACGGAGCAACCCGGACCTGCGGGCCCGGGGCCGCTGTCGGAGTTAAAGAAAGGTGAAATAGCTGGTCCTGGGACTTCGCGAGTCGTGGGACTTTGCCGCAGAACTTTCTTGCGACGCAGCGCGGCCCCGCCTCTCTGCCGCGACGCCCGCGCGCTCCGGCCGGGCTCGTTCCCGCGGGCGGGCAGTGGCGGCTGCAGCTCTGTTGGTGTAGAGGCGGCGGCAGCGGCGGGAGCGGCGTGGAGCAGTGTAGCCGAGGTGGCGGCGGCATTTATGCTAGTCAGGTGAGTTACGGAAGCTTATTCTACAGTGTTTCCCATATGGTCTAGCGGTTAGGATTCCTGGTTTTCACCCAGGCGGCCCGGGTTCGACTCCCGGTATGGGAACGGCATGTCATTTTAAAAAATCGATTTGGGGAACGGACTTACTTTATTTTCAGTGGCTCTGATTAACTTCCCCGCACCCCTGGGAAAATGAGTTTGTGGAAAACGGGTATTAATGTGGTTTTTTTGGTGGCGCCGTCGGCTGGGCTGCAGCTTTGGGAGCCCCGAGCGCCCCGTCGTGCGGGTAGGAGTTTCACTTTCTCTGGGCCGCTCCCCAGCCCCTCTGGCCCGACGCGTAGTTTTCCAGAGGCTCAGGAGGTGATGATTAACTCTGGCGGGGCTTATCTCCTCCCCGTGCCCCTTTCAGGCCCACACCTTGCTCGGCCGCCCCTCCTGACTCTCCCCGGGAGGTGCGGGGCTGGTGTGCCCTCCCCTGGGCGTCTCCTGGCCCGTGCTTTCCGCGGGGCGTTTACGAGACCCGTCTGGAGCACCCCGGGGGTCTCTCCTTCCGCCCTCTCCTACCTTTCGCTCACCCCCAGCGGCTGCGTGCGCCCGAGCCAGCCCCGAGGCGGGCCAGCGACCCGACTAGCTTGACAGTCGCCCTCCGAAAGCACCCTGGTCTTGGGGACAGAGCCCTCCCCCTTGCCCCGGTGAAACAAGCGCAGTGAGTTACAGAGCAGAAAAATACTACTGTGATGAGATGTCTTTAAAGAAAAAAATTGACATTCCAAAGACTAATGATTAAAAAATCCTGACGTGGAGGTGGAGCCTCCAAGACAGAAATTGGCCAGTGACTGGGGAGAGGATGTTATAACAAAGTTTCACTGTATTTTTAAAATATAGAAGCCCTGTGTTTATTACAAAGAAAGGGCAGCTGTGACAGCAACATGTGCGCTGTAAATGAAACAAAAGCATTATCTTTAATGCAAGTTGAAATTAGAAAATAGAGGCAGCTAAAATGTTTAGTCTATCAGGTTTCTGGAAACAAGGAAAAAATGACTTTTGAGTATGCATTATAATTAGGGTCATTACTAAGCAGAGGTTTTGGTTGTGTGTTCTTATTCTATAGCATTAAATGCACAGTGTTTGAAAATTATTAACGTAATCTGCACGGTTATACATCAGCTAGCTTTACCTTGTTTAAAAAACACGAACTGCCACAATTAAAAGCAAATTTAAATCATCTTCATGAGTGTTTGCTACATGGGAGGTTTACTACATGCTTTTGAAGTTACTGCTAATTCAGGTGCATTTTGTTAGTAGCTAGTGGGTAGAATACTGAATGATCACATTGTGACTCATGGTTAAGCTGTGTGACCTCTTGGAGCTCTTTCACCTTTTCTACTTTAGAGTCATAAATTCTTGGTAATATGTATTAATCACAAACTTTAGATGGTGGTGCAGGAATTGTTGACCAATTCTTGAATAGGTAATGAAACAGAAAACGTTTCATTTAAATCATGAGTGGAATAATGTTGTTAAAGGCTATTTACTAAAGAATTAGGTTTGAATTTGGAAGAAATCTACCTTTACCTTGTCTCCAGAGAGGGCTTAATTTTTGTAATGACTTGACATTGTATTGTACCAAATGGTGCTGAAATGGATGTTATTTTAAAATGAGCACTCAGTGATTGTAACTAGTAATAGGACTGGTATACACTTGGGGTAGGGTGAAGAGAGTGTTGGATAACAACATCCCTATACAAGACACAGATGATTTTATGTGTAGTTGTGTATTAGGTGGAATATACAACATCAGAGGTACAGAATTGCTCCTGAAGCACAGAGAGAAGGAATGAGTTCTACTTTGCAGAGAGGACTGGAGAGAAGAGCCAAGGAAGAAAGGGTATTTGCCCTGGGCCTTGAAGAACGGGTTGGATTTCTCCTAGCTGAGAATGTGACTCAGATGAAGGGAGAGCGAGTACCTGGAGGCTTGCAAGTAGTCTGGTTTGGCTGGAGCACAGAATGCCTGGAGGCAGAGGATTGGGAGGTCCAGCCTGGAAGGTAGAAAGGAATTTTAACCTGATAAATTTTGACTAGGTAACAGGGTCTTTTATCAAAGAGTGACCTTTTATGTCACTAGAATTCTTAAAAGCCACTCTTTGAAGAGCCTAAATATAGATGAATAGATCTGTAATGTGAAAAAGTCTTTTTAAAAAAGAGTCAACACAGAAACAAGGACATTATTGTTTTATACGATTCAAACAATATGTAAATTTGGAACCATCATACACTGCTAGTAGAAATGTAGAATGGTATAGTCACATTGGAAAAATTTGGTAGTTCCTTAAAATATTAAACACAGTGGTACCATATGACCTAACATTTCCATTCCTAGGTATATACAAAGGATAAATGAAACATATGCCTACACCAAAACTTATACACAGATGTTAATAGTAGCAAGCAAAAAGTGAAAACCTAAATGTCCATCAAGTAATAAATGAATAAATAAAATGTGTATCCATACAAGGGAATAATGTTTGGCAATAATAAAGAAATGAAGTACTGATGCATACCACATGGATGAATTTCTAGAACATTGTACTATTAGGTATATTCAGCCTGCAGGCCATTTGCCTGCTTTATTTTTTTGGTTTTTTTTAAGAAAAATTTAAGAAATATATTTACCAGCTTCTCTCACCTTCAACAAGGGAGAGACATTACAGTGGTTTTAAACAACCCATGTATACTTGTACATGATGCATCCCACCTCTTTTCCCTTCCCCCTCCCATCAAGCCCCCCTCTCTCCCTAGGTACAAAAGCTTTGTTTTCATTTTTTCATTCTAGTTTCACTTTTTTTTTTTTACTGTCCCTTCTTTCCTTTCCCTCCTTCGTCCCTTGTTCCCCTTCCCATTTGATCATTTTCTTCCCATTTCCCAATATCTATTTTACAATTTAGTCTTTATTTCCATTTTTGGTTCTTCACACCAGAAAAACAATGTGGTATTTAAACATGTGTGTCTGATTTACTCAAGAGTATGGTCTTAAGGTCCATCCATTTAGCCATAAATGTCTCAAGCTTATCCTTCTTCATAACAGAGTATTACTCCATTGTGTAAAAAAATCCACGTCTTCTTTATCCACTCATCAGTTGATGGGCATTTGGGCTGTTTCCAAGACTTAGCTATTGTAAACTGTACCCCTATAAACATGGGTGTGCATGTATTTCTGTGGTACGATGCTTTTAATTCTTTCGGGAAAATACCAAGAAAGGGAATAGCTGGGTCAAATGGAACATCTAGTTTTAGTTTTCTGAGGAATCTCCACACTGATTTCCACAGTGATTGCACCAGTCTACTTGCCCACCAACAGTGAAGGGTTCCTTTTTCCCCATAACCCCTCTAGCATTTGTTATTGGTTGATTTCTTTCTCTTTTTTTTTTTGGTACCGGAGATTGAACTCCGGTCCTTGCGCTTGCGCAGCAGGCGGCAAAACCACTGAGCTAAATCCCCAGCCCTGGTTGATTTCTTGATAGCAGCCATTCTTTCTGGAGTGAGATGGAATTTCATCATTGTTTTAATTTGCATTTCTTGAATAACCAGTGATGTTGAACATTTTTTCATATAGTTGTTTGTTGTTTCTACTTCATCTGAGAAGTGTCTTCATTTCAGATGCCCATTTTTGGATGGGGCCTTTAAATTTGGGAGGTCTGATTTTTTTGAGTTCTTTATATATTCTAGATAGTCCTTTGATGAACAGCTGGTAAAATTATTTTCCCATGCTGTGGGCTGTCTCTTCACTCTGTTGATGGTTTCTATTGCTGTGCAAAAGCTTTTTAATTAAGATGAGGTAACAGTTGTTGATTCTTTGTAGTATTTCTCATGGGGTCTGCTCTCTATTTTTTTTATAAATGTTATGGATATTTATGTATGTGTGTATAGAGATAATTTTATTATTTATATAGAGTAACTGTGTTCTGTACTTTATATGTGGCCCACGATAATTCCTCTACTCAGTTCACCCAGACAAGCCAAAAGGTTGGATATGCCTGCAAGAACATGACACTAAGTGAAAGAAGCTAGGCATAAAACACCACGTTTTGGTGGGTTCTGTGGTGCCTGACTGCACTTTTGGAGGCTGAGGCATGAGGATCACAAGTTCAAGTTCTGACTGGGCAATTAAAGCAAGATCCCAGGTCAAAATAAAAACACAAAAGGATTGGGGATATAGATCAGTGTGAAGGCCTTGGCTTCACTTCCCAGTACTGTAAAAAAAAAAAATTGTTACATTTATATGAAATGTATGAAATAGGGAAATCTACATGAGAAATAGGATTAATAGTTGCCTTATATTAGGGAATGGGAGGGTGCTTGCTAATGTAGTTACAATTGGGTTGACTAGAAGAGATGGTTGCACACCTCCTTATAAATATAGTAAAAAAAACCATGAATTGTATATACTTCAAAATACTTTCTGATATATCTCAGCAAAACCGTTAAGGATTGAAACAATAGCACAGAATATTTTATCTGTAGA